TGAAATTAAACAAAGACCATAAAATTCGAGATGCCTAATTAGATGTTAAAGCTTTTATTTTACATCAGATTGCTGTATTATAAATAACTTAATAACGTGAATCGTGTATTATAAAATCAATCTGGAATTTTTGAAATGGCGTCGCCGTGCAGCGAGAAATTATCCCGTTTTTTCATATTTCAAGGTTGGCAGTTATGTTTATATATACAGTGAAAATCGTTTAACACGAAACTAAGGGGGGACTGAAATATTTTTTCGTGTTAAAGGATATTGGAAAAAAAAAAACATATATTCAACATAATTAAGTTTATTGCATTTTATTTACATTGATATGCATATAGGCATGTATTTATGAATGAAACAAAAACATCCACAAGAACTTAATGAAATTTAGTACAAAATTTTCAAATTTTTGGAAAATTAGAACATTTAGTGAGTTTTTCGAAAATAATCTGATATTTTCTTTTCACAGTCTTTTTTAGAATCAAATTGTTCAATGTCGCCCATTTTGTTATTCCTTTCACCATTGGAATGTGCGCCTAAATCATTGCGCATACTTTTTAGGATGTTTCTCATTTCAGATGAAGTGGGAACAGGAGCTGCTCCAAAATGTCTTTGTTTGCCATAACTGGGACTCTACACACATTATCATCAATTACTGCAACGAATTCTTCCGATGGTGCAGTAGGACAGTCATTAATACAGAAACTTTCTTGAACATTTCATTAAGTGTCGGCTCAGTCTCAATATCCTCCTTCTCCATTTCTTTTGGCGCCAAAGAATCTAATACTTTTGAGAATTATGCATGACGAAAACACTTTTCATTCGTGCTTGGAGTTACTGAATTCCATGCAGAGTGCAACATACGAACCAAACTCACTAATTTTTACTCACACTGCGATGTACTCGTCACCGAACTCCAAAGCCAACTGATGAAAGATGAGATATTTGTATGGCGTTTGTAGGGGTGGAAGATGAAAGTAGCTTAGATAAACAAAACTTGCTCGTTTCACAGACTATTCCGAGGGTATTTCAAAGCCAAGTTAGCCCCCTTTCTACGAAACATGTGAAACCACCTCTCTTTAATTTCACACCCCTCTTAAATCTCGCCTGCGATGCCAGTGTTTTCCGTAGTTTGTTCATTCTTAGAAAGGATATCTTTTCGTGTTACACGATTTTTGTTGCGTGTTAAGAGAAACAAAATGCATGAAAATGCATAGTGATTTGTCTGGACCGTTGTATTGTTTCGTGTTAACCGATATTTTGTCTTAAGCGTTTTCGCATTAAACGTATTTTACTGTATTTGCATGTGTATGTGCGTGTGCGATATGCATTTCAATTGGTATATTTACTCTATATCTTTTTGTAACTTGAATAATTTTCTGTTTCTCTGTTGGAAGAAGATTTTCACTTTAATTTTAAAATTTTCTGAATTTATTTACTAAATTCAGTGGTGCAACAGCCCTTAGTGAGCCATGCCCTGCAGTGCCCTAATATCTGCTTTCTTGACCGCGAGCCCTGGGGTGCATGAGGAAATACCTTGGACAAGTGGTGAGCTTATCGCAGCCTTCCCCTCCGGTGTTTTGTCCCCAAGCGAACTTGGTACTCATTTTATCAACCTACTCAAGGAGTGAAAGGTTGAGTCAACTTTGCCCAGCCTATGGATCGGACCCCGGATCTCTGTTGCTGCTGCGCTTCGCGCTACCTTTGCGCCACCGGCCCTTTATTTAACTCAAAAAATTTGTTTTGTAATTAATGTAGTAAAACTGTACATTCCTAATCGTAGCAAATGATATCGAAAGTTAGGCAAATGGTTCCATCCGTCCGTACAGCATTAGTAGCAGGACACTCACTTGCAAAAGTTAAGCACGGAGAGGAAAATGCTAATTTGCGGAAGCCAATCAGAATTGAAGAGGATGCAATTCGCTGCAGAGGCAAATGGAAGTCTGACTGGGGCAATGTCATGTTTACTGATGAGTCAAGATTTGCTCTAGAGCCGAGGAGGAAGCATTATGGTGTGGGCAGGGATTTCATTAGGATACCGCACCGACCTGCACATCTTTAAACGGTTTTTTTTTTTTTTTTTTTTTTTTTTTTTTTTTTACGGCTTTCCGGTATCGAGATGAAGTCCTAGAACCCATTGTGAGATTGTACGCTGCAGCAGTTGACCCTACTTTTGTTTTAATGGACGATAATGCACGTCCTCATAGAGCTGACATCGTCGATGACTACCTGGAGAGTGAAGGGATTGCGCGTACGGCGCGGCCAGCATATTCGCCCGACCTTAATCCCATTGAAAATCTTTGGAATGCTCTCAGCCGTGCTGTATCTTTACGTTTCCCACCTCCAGCCACTCTTATTGAGCTGTAAACTGCTCTAGAAGAAGAATGGCAATTACTTAATTCTGCAGTGGTTGACCACCTAATTGAAAGCATGGTCACAAGGTGTAAACTTTGTATACAGATGAGGGGGATCACATACCCTATTAATGTCCTTTTTTTCATTTTATGCTGTTTATTTTCACTTTATACATAATTCTGTTTAAGTCTGCAGTATGTCATTATCTGATAACTTACAAAAAATTAATATTTTCATTTCTGTATATAATTATTGATTTTGTTTTGCGCATAAATATATATGCTACTTTCCTGCTGAATTTTGTGTCAATCAAAGCAGTATTTGTTGATTTTTTTTTTTTTTTTTTTTTTTTTTTTTTTTTTTTTTTTTTTTTTTTTTTTTTTTCATTTTACATCTTTGTGCTTAACTTTTGGAAGTGAGTGTTTATATTAAAGGACTCCATGATGATTACTTAATAGTTCATGTAATATTTCTGTCTGTCAGAACAAAATCTAAGACCTTTTTCTGACAAATAGAAGTCCACACGATTACAGAGATGTTTTTATACGTGTCAAATCGTGTAACACAAGATACATAGAGATAAAGTATGATTTTTTTTAAAGTTTTAAATTTTTTAATATTTATGTAATGATTTAAAATAATTTTAGAAGGCAGTTATAGATGAACTTGCAGCTTTTGAAATAAATTTTATTGTAGTTTTAATAATAATCGTATTTAATCATTACATGAGCAATTTTCGTCGTAAAATAGCGAGGGCTTTAAATGTGTACCACTTAGTATTAATTTGTGGAGAACAGAAAAAACTTAAGTGCCCTGTGAAGTATTTTAGACACTGTTGTGATTGAAAGTAAAACTATCATTAAATGCTACATTACATTGTTTAAGTTATATTATGTAGCACTGTTATGTAAATGTGTGGATTACATTTTAATAATTAAAAGATTATACAGGATGGCCAAAATTCATATTATCTGGTAGTTGAATAGCATTTTCCATCTTTTGCATGTTATAAAACAGCCTTGAGAGATTCATCATGGTGAATTTGATGACAAGACAGCAAATAAAAATTATGCTTTAAATGAACACTTTTGCGAAATAAAGAATTACGTTTGAAATCATGTAATGGAAAATCAACTTGAATGGATCCGTACATCTATCTAGGACTATACTGAACCTCTATAGACTTCAGCTAGCGCTGATAAATTCAGAAAAACTCTGGGATTAATTAACCGCAACGTTCATCCCTTTCAACTTCTGGTTGCTTATTTTTGTGTTATCGCCAGTGGCTCTTTAACATTTTTGTTTCATGGCATCTTGAACGTACTAGAGATTTTCCGCGGCATCGCAAGTAAAGAACATAAGTCTAGTGTTAAAATAAAGGAAACGCGTGTTTCAAATTCAGAAACAGTTCATATGACATTTACTAAACAAGTGCACATTTTGAACAATTATTGAATAAATAAACAGCAATTAGAATGGTGAGTCTTTTTTCATTATACATGTTCTGAAATCTTAGATTAGAATCAGACTGATTTGGTTAGTTTCCTGCTGTCGAATTTCGTCTTCGATTCCCCAGAAGGATATGTTATTGAGCTTTATAAAACTGCTTAATAACATATCCTTTCAGAGAACTAAGTTTAAATGAAGTCTCTGATAAGAAACAAAATTGAGTCCATGCAAACATGAATCCCGTCAGTGACTGAGTGGATAAGATTGCTAAATGCTGGTCATTCAAATTTTGTTCGCACCCTGAAGAATGAGCTGGCATTTCAGCCATTTTTGTAATTTATCCCATGTGTAATGTGCATATGACCGAGTTTTCTGTAGAAAGTCTTCCACGAAAGCATCGCTGTCATTAAGCAGACCTCGTATACTTTTTCAGAATCAAATAATCCAATCCATGCGAAATGGATGACATTGTCTCCATGAGAGTAATTTTCGTATTTCTAAACTGCTAGTTGAGAAGCTAGCAGATGTTTTTCCAAAACAACAGTTTGCAGAATATCTTCATACCACTAACTAATGGTTCAATTTTGAAACTACATCTACTATTTATCATTTCTTTGAAAGTATTAAAATATTTTGCGGCCTCTCTCTACGTTCACTTTGCCACCTCAAGCTGTCACAGCGCATAATTTGGGAACCACTGAATTAATTGAACTGAGTGAAATAATGTGAACAAACGTTGTACACTTGAACAGATCAAGGAGATTCAAAACATTAACTAATGTTATGAAGAATACAATTGAAAGAGTTCGACGTTTCAAGGTGACAAAAAAGTATCACGTGCAGTTTTTGTATATAATGTTAGAGAAATTCATTTATTTATACCATTGATAATTTGGTCCGTTAAAATAATGGGAAACAATTTCAAAATTACAAAAGAGAAAAAAAATAATTCAGTTTTTTTTTTTAGTGAATGATACAGATTTTAGAAAGAATTTTGCTGTAAGGTTTAGATTAAAATGATGAGATTTTATATCTGTAATTTTATGAGTTTAAAAATGAATTTAAAGCTTTATTATTCATTGTAGACTACTTACTCATCTAGTTAAAACTTTTTGTTACATAAATTATTTGATTTAATTCATTGCTATGTGAAATATATATAAGATTATTCATGAGATCTATAAATTTTTCAGACTATTGCTTCCGATCCCCACACTGTGATACATGTTCCACCAGGTGGTCAACAGAGAGCATCTGAAAATGCTTTGGATGCATTACTCGACGAACTACAAACATTCACTAAGCCACTTGAGCAGCCAAGAGACAATATCCCTGGGCTTTTAGGCCCTCAGAGGCGTTTACCATCATATCCTAGTGCTGAATCTCCTGTACGCAGCCCTGCACGATCATTTGCTCCATCAATGCCTGGTCAGGCTGAGGTATCATCATCCGGAAATAGTGCATTTCGGGCACCTGCAACTATAACTAATAAGCTTCAGGTTAATGAATCAGGGCAGCAATTGTATGTCCTGTCTCCATCTCACTCACCGGTTCCTGATACTAAAAAATCCCAAGACACGATAATCAGAGTAGCTGTGAATCCTGGCAATACTAAACAAACTGTTATTGATGGGGTTGAAGGAACTATAACTACTAATCCCATTGCTCATAAAAAGGCTCCTCCTCCGCCACCACCAAGAACTACAAGTCGGTCACCACTGACTTCTCCAACAGCAGATAATCAAGAAAGTGTACCAGGGAGTCCTAGAGATGTAGTGTTTAGTCAATTGCGCAGTAATTCTGCTCCCGCAGGAGAAACTGAAAGTAATGTCAGAAGAATGACAGCTCCTAGATCAGTATCAAAAGATGAAGGAACGGCCCAGAAAGAGAAAGAAGATGAAGAGCTTTTAAGAACTAGTGCCATTTCTGATGATGCACTTCGCCGAGATCAGTTATCCAGTAACAGCAGCAGCAGTGAAAGTGTTAATTCTCAAGAGGGTCTTCAGGTAGGTCAGAGTGGTAGTGGCCTTTCACCAGTGGGAAAACTAGAAAGAAAATCTTCTTCTGGAAGTTCCCATGGCACGCCACCTGAAGGAGGAACTCCTGAAAAAGGTTCAAAAAAGCTGGGTCTTCCAACTCCTCCTCGCTCGAGGGCGGAAGTACTTGAGCAGCGTCACCAAGAGCTGTTGAGAAAACAGAAACACCTTCAAGATCAATATACTCGACTTCAACAGCTACAAAGAGGCCAAATATTGCAGCGTTTCTCACCACCTCGATCAGCAACATCAACACCAATCTTGAACGATCTCAAGAAAACTGGTAGTGAGAGTAACATTCTGTCTAAATCAGCTTTCACTCTTACTCCATCGTCTGGCTCTCTTACACACTTGGCAGGCACTGCTGTAAATTTTACCACTAAGCAGGAGACAAAACCTTCTACTGTTGTCACTACTACTACTTCTGCTACTTCAAAAGCACCAGCTGTGCCCGCCAAACCAACCACAGCTCAGATTCAGAAGAACAAAATATATGAAACTGATATCTTGTGAAAAATTTATTATGTTGTATATGAAATTTTCTCCCTTTTCTATGAAAGAAAGTTCATGATGAATATAAATGGTTAAAATAATAGTCTGTTATGGAATGCAACTTAGACTGATTAAATCTGTTTGAATCGTTGGGAGGTTTGTATATTTAATTGCACTAAACTAAATGTTGTTGTCTTTCGCTCTGTTTTAGCAGCATGTCCCATTATTCGCTTTCTGCTCTGCTTATTGAGCATGTTTATATTTCTCAGTTATCTATCAGAGTTATCTGCTGGTGCTTCAGTCAAAAACATTGTTTATGCTTTTGAACTCCCTAGGCTTCACGTTCAATAGAACCTAGAATGTGGTGTAGACTAAATAATCAGATGTGGTTATAAAAAATATTTATCCTGTTAATATATTTGATGCAAAAGACTGTTCTGGAAAGTAAGGGACCCGAAGTACCATCATCTGTATAAAACAATCTGTTTCTCATACGGTTTGTTCCCCTAAGATGTTTATGGATTAAGTTTTTTAATCTAACTATTTCAAATTGTTAAATGGGACTCTGGTCAAGTTACTTGACTATCATCTTTTTGGAACAACAAGTAAAGAGTAACAAATAGTCATGTTTTCACTGTTATGGTGGAATGAATGATTCTAGTGATGAATTTTATTAATAGTTTTGTGTTATTGTTCATTCCATGAGTATGATTGCTATCATTGGTGTGTTTTTACATTTTTAGTGCAACCAAATATTGTCAGTTACATAGTAGAATTTACAGTTCACTGTACAAGTTCAAAAAAATGTGTTGTGTATGTATTTAGTCAGGAAGAAAAAGCAGTGTTGTGCTTGTGTGCTGGTGGTACTGAATTTGAAACAATAACATGGAAAATTTGTTTCTTTCTGTATAACTTAAAGACAAGTTTATAGTTGTCAACATTCGAACATAATTTTCATTCATATTCATTGTAATTATTCTATTAGATTATCACCATTAATTTTAATTTCATGTATTTTATTACTAAGTATGCTAATTTTTACCTATTGCACATTTTAAATATTTGAATAAATGAAGTAAAATTTAATTTAACATTATCTTTTTATATGAGCTTAATTCTAAAGAATCATTACCTGAAATTATGCAAAGTAAAATATATTTAACTGAAATGCAGTCTCAGAGCAGTGATTTTTCCAGATTATATTTTTTCATTCAAAAATAATTATTTCTTTATTATTATTATTAAAAACTTTAAGGAGAATGTTTTTATGTTAGTCAAACCACTCTTAATTTTGTAAAATAGTTGTCTCAATCAGATATATACAGAAACAAGTAAATTATTCTAATGTAGAAGCTAAAATGAAATTATTCAAATCCTATTTGTGTTTGTGAAAATTAGAGTTAGAGAAGAAATCTGAATATTATCTATCAAAAGATTTAAGAAAACAAGGCTAGGTATGACTTCATTTTTTCTGTTCATGATGAAGATTATCGGATATCGAAAAAGAGTCCCAATTAATACTTAACTGTTTATAGAATAGAATATATGCTGTAATTTCCGTTTTAATTAGTCCTGTTGTACACAAATGCCAGTTTAAAAAAAAGAAAGCACACACACATATAAGTATATATTGCAAATTTCACACTATTTATTTTGATCTTAGACATTAACGAAATAATTGATGTAAAGGGCATTTGCTTCTGTAAAAACTTAATTCAAGATCTGAAGCAACAGAATAACAATTAACAAACAGAAAATGTTCTATTTAACAATTTTGTTCCTTTCGGGATAACAGAATATAAAATTTAAAAATATATTAATTCAAACTTGAATCATAACACTAGGTGTTATAATCATTATTCAGTAATACAAAAACTGTATTCACAGTTGTTTTCCTTTAATGAACTTCGAATCTTATATAGTTATATCAAATAATTTAATTTTCAGTTTTGTAAATTAAGATTTTAACAAAATTCTATAATATGTAATAAATGAAATATAGAAGTAAATTACAAATGTAGTCTTTTCTCATCCATAAAATTAAATGTGATATACACTTTTGTATAGTTTTTGTATGTCAAAGTTTTCGCTCTAAAAAAATAAGTTAAATTAAAAAAATGTTATTAAAGAAGATTAGAAATTACTGCCTTATTATTATTACATCAAAAAATATCATAGTAAAGTTTTAAAGTATTTCACCCACTAAATATTACATTATTAACATATTGTTTTTATTAATATTCATGTGTCATGTTAGTTGAGAATCCTATAAAAATCATAGGCATATGTTGTTATAAATTTCTCTGAGATGTATGATGATATTATAAAGATGTTATGCATAATATTAAAGTAGTTTCAGATTTTTGTTAATTGAAAGCTTTACATTCATTTTCATTTTGACAGAAAGAGAACCATGAGCTTTAAAGATGCTTGTTTGTTTTTTGAGAAAATAGCCTGAGGTATACTGTAAACTGAAGTGGCAACTGAAATTTTTGGAGAAGCAGCGGAATATGCGCATAAAGTCACATTTATAAAATTTTATAGCATATGAAGCTATTGGTTCTTCTTCTGAGCTGTATTTTTACATAATTATTCTTAATATGCTAGTGGAAAAAAGAAAAAATATTGTGTTGCTGGTCTATAATTTCTATATATTTTTTATCCTTTTGTTTGCAAATGTAGAATGATTTTTTTATGCTACCTATGTTAATTCTGGAATTTTATAACAAGTGTAGCATGTGTAAAATAAATTAAACTGTAAAAAATTCAAAACACACTTGGCTACTATTATATATATGTTATGTATTTTGTTTATAAATGTATTTTTCTGAAGTTTCGTTTATAAATTGTATATAAAATACATAGAAATATATGTGAGTTTTTGGTTTAGTTTAAATACATGTGTTATTGTGATCTAAAAATGTACCTCAAATCATGATATGTGAAGTAGTTTATATTAGCTTTGTTTCAAAATTGAAAGAATTAATACAGGTATGAAATAATTTCTGAAGAAATTATAAATAAAATCTTTGTTAAAAAATTAGAAATAGTAATAATATTTGATAAACATTTTTATTAATAATTTACAAAAGAAATCCCTAATAAGATTAGTATTTTATCTATAGGAACGTAAGAAATCCTTCGTCTAACTAATAACGTAAATATTGATTTGATTAATTAATTTCTCATGACAAATTACGCGAGGGCTATTTTCCGAAATGCTAGAATGTTTTCATGGATGATTTTCTAACACTTAATCATTACTTTATTGTTGAATTAAAAAAGTCGTAGAACGTAAAAAGGCACTTAAATTGTGTAGCTATTTTAACTGCAGGTGTGTAGTTATAAAATATCAAAAATATTATTAAATGCTGTCTTGAAAATTTTTAAAATACATTTTGTCATTTATGTGAATATTTATATAGAAATTCCATCGTGTTTCCTGTATGTGTTATGAACAGCAGAAATGTTTGAATAATTACATTAAGAAAACCTATGATTGGTAATGAATGCTGAATTATGCTAAATATATTTTTCATAGTTATTAAATTTAGAGAAAGAGAACTTTATTTTCTACTTTCGACTATAATCGCAAGTGATATTTCATTCATTTGAAGTAATAATCTGACTACTGACTCACATCAGCTACATACAATAAATAACCTTTGCTTCGTTTATTAAACTGAGTAATTAAAAAATTATTTTTCGTTCTCCTTGAATCATATTTTTATCTTTACAGTTTGAAATCAATTAATAGAACAAAACAAATTTATTTCTCCGAAATTTAGTGCATGAAACCATTCCGTAATTATTTTCTTTTATAACTATTATTACAAGGTGAGTTTCTAATTATTACTAGCAATTCTAAATTTTTTCGAATCCGAATCCTGAATTATTATATAAAGTCGAATTCTTTGTATAAGAATTAAAAAACAATAATAATAATAATGAAAGGCCTTTTTTTTTTTTTTTTTTTTTTTTTTTTTTTGAATGTAATGGGAAAAAAGCTAAAGAGATTATTTCAACAATTAACATATTTCAAACATTATTAACATAGATAAATACTAAACTTAAATTCTCTTCAAGGAATTTAAAAAAATCAAAAACTTTTTTTTTAGTTTAAGAGTTCGTATGTAAGCATAAACATTCACCATTTTAAGACAATCTAAAAAACAAACTTTTAACAGAAATTTTCATTTAAGAAAAACTAACATTTGAACTTGCTGTGATTTCATTTTTTATTAACATGATATGATTGCTTTTGTAATGGAGTTATCTTTCTGTGATTGGTGATGGTGCTCCGATTAAGAATGCTTAGAGAGTTTCCTCTAACTTTGCATTCTTAAATTTTAATGGATGCTTCTACTGGATGTAAGCAAATTAACATGTCCGTAGAAAAGGGGCACACAAGAATTTCCCATTACCGATTTATTTATAGAACATATGGTTCAGGTAAACCAAGACCGAAGGAGAAGAAATGAGGAAAAGACCATAAATAAAGGTATAAATTTATATGGTGGTACCCAAATCTTTTAATTGCTAAAGTCTCTAAAAGTCTTAATCCGGCCCTGGATGTCAGTAAAACTTATCTTCCCAAAATTTTGACTTGAAACTTTTTTTTAAAGTTTAGAATACGAAAGATTCGAATGAGGGAAAAGAAGTTTGGAATGTAGTTTTCAAATCTTTTTCAAGATTCGCATATCCTATAGTTATTTATTATTAGCGTGATTATGACTGAAGTTTGTTTAATTGAGTACTGTTAGCATTTTATGCTATTATCGTTCCAATAGATATTCTGTTCAAATCATCTTAAGGCAGAAATGCGTATAGATGTTTGGGTATTACTTGCGATAAATCTTGATCCTAATTTGTATTTTTAAATTTTTATGTCAGATCACAGTGTTGTATGAACTAACTCTCTCTGTTATTTTAAAACTTGGTATTGTTGGTTTAATAGTAATTAATCTAAGTCTACAATTGTTTTATAGTTTTAAATATCCTAATAGATTAAATATTTATGAGATAAGATATTTAGAAAGACTACTTCGAAAGAAAACAGTTATTTAATTTGTAGTTACGCTCTCTATGCTAATATTTCTCAAGTGCTTGGGGGAGGGGAACTGTTCCATTTTAGACTTGTAAAGTAAAACTGTAGCAGAAAGTTCTTGGTGAAGAATACCGGCTGAAATCATGTGATCCAAAAGGGACCGAAAAAGGTTCAAAGGTAGCGAAGCCGAAATCAGCAGGAATGTTTACATGTTTATTGTTATTAAATATACTAACAATAATTTATATATTAATATGCACATAAATAATAAATATATTTATATATCATATCTTTGTCATATTTCTATTTCAGTTGAATATATTATTTGGAATGCAGCATTTAAACTTAAGAAAAATTTTGGGATATGCCATTCTGATACATGGTAAGAGAGGGGTGTTGAGAAATAAAGGTTGAGAACCATTATCCTATATATAGGTAATCCAATAAGTGCTACATTATTCAGAATTATATTATTTATTATTCAGCAAGTGTCATATTATTATTATCCAGTAAATGTTATATTATTATTATAAAATCGTAGAGTTAGATAAATTACTATCAAACCAGCAATACCAAGTTTTAAAATACTAGAGAGTGTTAGTTAATACAAAACTACCGTCTCATATTCCAAATTTTAATGTGGAAAAACATTATATAGCTTCTGCTATTAATTTGTTCTAGTTATTTTGGAAAGTTATTTTATATATCACTAGTATATAGTTAATATTGATTCTTTTCTAAAGTTCTTTTGCAGTTGAAAAAATGTTATATTGGCACACAAAATTAGTGTTTACTTTTTCCATTTTGTCTGGAAAGCCGTGACTGAAATGTTTTAATGTACTTAAATTGCATAAGCAAAAAAATAAATTAGCGATTCATTATCCAAGATTAATTAGATAATTAATTAGAGATTCATCACTTATAATTTTGTTTATTTGATAATATTCTAGTTCTTTTACTTCTACTTAAATACATGAATTTGTAACATCTATTCTTTTGGAACATGTTTTAAGATGATGCTATTTATTTGTACAAAAATAATAAAATTAGTTTTTCGTTTTGGAACTAATATTATTAAAAAAAGAGCGTGCACCAAAAAAAAAAAAAAAAAAAAAAAAGTATTCATTCCATTGAAGAAGTTATATGTATCTAGTTTATGGTACAAATGCAGGAATGGAAATTTAAGATTTTGTTTGAAATTAAATAAAACTTTTCATTAATACTTTTCTTTTCATTCAATAATTTATCGGAGCCAAGAAATATTATCAAAAACTTTATTTAAAATATTAATGAATAATTTCTTCAAAATTGTTTTAATATATGTTTCGTACCTATTTTTTGTGTACACTCATAAAAGCATTTAAAATACTTGTAATTTTAAGCTACAGAACTTTGCAGAATTTTTCTAAAGTAACACTTATTTTAACAGATATTTCCAGGAACAGTATTGCAGCAGTAAAAAATATTGCGCAATGTAAATCGCTGAATTTCAGAATTTTTCAGTTGCCACAAATGTTAATTGTACCTCGGGTAATCAAATCGGCTTTCTTCAAATATAAGTGATACGTAAAAAAATTCTGCATTGTTATGAACAAAATTTAGCGGCCACATGTATCTCACTCACAGTATTTACATGAATTTATTTTTAAAATTTTATACACCTCTATGGTGCCAAAAAAGTACCACTTTTTCTAGCCAAATTTTTAAATTTGTATTCTTTAGGTTCACTGTCTTACTAGAGAAGAATATAAAAAATGTGGTTGCCTTACTTGTGCTCATAGTCTAAAAGCACAATAACAAAGTTATTAATTTCAATCATAAATGGTAAAAAATGAAATGTATTTTACTTGATGTTAGTATGTTTTTGAATATGAAGTTTTAAAAATGCTTTAGTTACAGTTTTGTAATTACCTGATTATTGCAGGAATAAAGTACATTGCACTGTTACGTACTGTGCAGTAAAACTTTTTTATGTTTCTGTTGTCTTTACTCGCTGCATTCATTTACGTAAAATATGTTATAAGGATACATCTGAGTTATAGCAGAGATAAAAGTTATTACATATTTTCATGTAATTCAAAGTAATGTGAGAACACGTGTGAGGTACTTAAAAAAGTATTTTCTCTCTGATTTCCGCATGCCTTCGTGGTGTAATTAAGAAGCATACTGGACGTGTATTCGAGAGGTTCAGGGTTTGAGTCTCGGCGAGGGCATTGCACATTTTCCACGTCTCCTTCTTCAAAAAATCTTAATGTCTGTGCAACTTTTCTAGGAAGTTGTAAAGTCATTACGTTCTAGGAAAGTAAATTAAAGGAAGTCAAAAGAGCAGCTAAATGATTGAGAAGTTGATGAATTACGCATTTAACTAAGGCTTAAATATTAAAATAATAAGTGCGGAATCTTATTGAAGACCGTCAGGAAAGACAGAAAAAAATAAAATAACTTATTAAATAATTATTAAAATTCAATAAAAGGCAAAGAAATAAAAAAAATATTAAATTAAGTTAAAATTAACGATAAATTCTTAAATAATGAAATAAAATACTGCAGCTTGTCTTACTTCGAGCTCCGACTATTATTACAATTTCACTCGAAAATTTAGAAATATCGGTGCCAAGCTCCTTCTGAATCTAAGCTCTGATATTCAGAGGCTTAAATTGATAAAAACAAAGACCATTCTTTTTCCAGCACACTAACAGGGAAAAAACAACTTAAAACTGTTAAAGCATCTCTAACGAGAATACAGAAAATTCTAGAAAGAGTATGAGAGCACAAGAAAATTTTAACGGAGACGTGTAGGTTCTTAAACAAATGTCGAACACTTTCTGACCACGAACCCCTTCTGAGCTCTCAAACAGTAAACATTCAACAAACATACGGTCCTGTATAATTAACCATCCTCCCATATTTGGTCACAACATTCCGAAACATGTATGTATGGAAACAAACATACGGTCCTGTATAATTAACCATCCTCCCATATTTGGTCACAACATTCCGAAACATGTGTGTATGGAAACAAACATACGGTCCTGTATAATTAACCATCCTCCCATAGTTAGGCATATCATTCCGAAAAGTCTACAGCTGCTTCCATAAGAAGCCTCTATCGCTGGACGGATCTAAGCTATATCATCCCAGCATTTCGCTACGTTAAGCCCGTTGTGATTCGGAGAAAATTTAGGAACATAAATAATTATTACCCTTTCGCGTTGTATCACGAGTAACATATATCGCCGTTGCCGAATCAACGGACATGACTGTACGACTAGGATGTTAACTTTTAATAGTTTAAATTAAATTTACCCGTTCTCAAAGAGATTCCCATAAATTTATTACACTTCTTGCAGAATTAGATTTTGACATGTGGGAGTTTTTCTTCCTTAAATGTCTTAATATCCGTTCGAGGGTTTATTTCCTATGGAAATGCAAGCATGCATTTCGAAGTCAAAATCAATTTTTAAAATTGACTTATAATTTTACGAGATATAATAAAACTTCACGAGATCAAAAGAATTTTCTAAAATTCTATTTCAGTTTCATTAAAGAAGTGTCGGAGCTGCTCTTATTTAGAGCGACGATATGCTCCGAATAAAACTACAATTAATTTTTCAAACTACGAAGTACCATAGCCGATATCTGACGGAATTTGAGTTCAGTTTCTAACTGATCCCTCAATTAAGTACACCTGAAATACAAGAATTCTTTTTTTTTTTTTTTTTTTTTTTTTAAGTAAAACTTCAGAACTTCAAAGAAGGATTTAGCGTTAAAATTTTTTATAAGTATTAAAGAGTATAAAAAAAAACTGTAACATTATAAACCTTTAAAAACAAATATGTCTATACCAGGTACGAAATGTATGGTGTTAGAAATATCTTTTATTAATTACCAAAGCTGTAACGTTCATTAAAATTACAATCTAATTGTATTTTAATTTATACTCTTCTTTGGTTTAGCTAAAGCACGCGAAGGCTGTCTGCCTACAGCGATTGATGCCTTTGCAGATGACTTTCTAATGGAAATTGGCTGGTATCCACATTACACAAGGAAAAACCACGAAAACGCCCATGTAGCCAACCCGTTCGCCTAAAATCGAATCTAGTTTCGGAGAAATTGTACACTCAAACAGAAAAAAATATACATTTCCGATTTGATGAACCACTATTCAATCCAGTTTGGAAACAACAACCGGGAGTGTTTACTAAATGTAATAGACTTAATGCGAGAGACGTAAAGTTGTCATTTTGTTTTTGTACTGATCTGTTTCCTATTGCAGAGAATTAAATCATAGCTACATGTGATGTACAGCAAAAATCTGGTATCCAGCGTTCGATAATACGGCATACCTTTCACCTACATTCCTGTAGCTACTAGCGTTTCATTTGGCAATATTTGAAAATGTGCATATTTATCAGATCCCTAGGAGATCTCGCAAATACGCTTGTGTTTACAAAAAATTTTCGCAAATAAGTGAGCTGGGGTTTTCTAATCCTACCCAGCTGATCAAATTTCTTTTGATATTCTGGCAAGTAGTTTCGGAAAAATCGTACACGCCAACGGAAAAAATATAGGTGTGAGAAACCTTAACTTAAAGATATAATTACTTTCAAATCCGATAGAGGTATATTATTTTCTTAATAAAGAAATAAAAAAATTTGCTTATTAAAGTTTTGTGTAAGTATGCATATTTATATATTTAAACAGTACTGCATGCATAGTTGTCGTAAATTTACTTGGCACAATTTCATTTTCAGTAAAGAGCTGAAATTTCTATGATTTCAGATTTTATTATAGTTTTAAATGTTTTTAGGTCCTCAGCATAATTAATTGCCCATTTAATGCAGCTACAGTATTTGCACAATTAATAAAAATCTCTTGAAATTCTAATCAACCAGATATGTTCTGTAACTTTCAAAGCTACTTCATTTTCCTTCGTCATCCTGTCCTTCGCATCCTTCAGTTTTGCTTTTAATACATCTCGACGTTGCCACATCAGAATTTGCATTAATACGAAATTACTAATACCGATAGCAGTTAAAGATTGCGCATGGTTTGGTTTCAGATGTTTCAATGAGTAAAATTAATTTTAGTTAAATGTTCTAAAAACAACTCGGGAAAATGTTAATAATACACAAGAAACACTCAGAAGAACCGTCAGAGAAGGAATGGACAATACTTATGGAAAATCGTGCCAATAAATCATAAGGCTGATTGATTGTTTCTGACAGGCTGTGCGGGAAGTATCATTTGTTCTCCCTGACTAATTACACCTGTTAAAAAATTCCATGTTTCTGTAGGGATGATGTACGCAAATGCCATTTGTGCGGAGGAGTCGTACGCAATTGTCGCATCACCGGAAGACATTGAAAATTCATTGTAATTAACAGAGTAAGTACACTGCAAAAAATCCTGATATCACACACAGAGTAAATTTTAAAACGCAATTCAGCTCCCTCCTTGAACCGCAGTCTAACATCGGTATTACATCGACTACCTATCTTCAACAGCGCGTCGAAAGAAATAATATTTCCACGAATTTTCATTTTCGGGATATCTGATTTCATTTCGGGACTTGCAGCGAAAACCAGTGCTATGAAGGACACAACTTTAAACGAAACATTTTCATCTCGATTGTAAAATTTCCCGCGTTGCTAGTTGGAACATCGGTTCCAATCGGCTAAGAACTCTCCAATGGCAGGAGAAGGAAAAGATCATTTCTTTGAAGAGTTTCTCCTAGCTTCCCGCGTTGATAGATCTAATAGCCTCATAGAGTTATAAGGTATTTCTCCCGCTTTTCTAGTGTGCCTTCGTGGTGTAGCGGTGAGCACTCTGAGCCGGTATTTCAGAGATCCGTAGTTCGATTTCCGGCGAAAGCGGTTGCATATTTTTCATCTTTATTGCTTTCAGTTAATATAATGACGCTACAGTGGCTCCCGAACGAAAAGGGTTGTCGATAATGATTCTCCGCACCCAGGATTTGGCGATTAGGCCCCCTAAGACCCTAATCGCCATTTAAAAAAGGAGGAGTATGTAAGGTATTTCTCCCGCTTTCCTAGCGTGCCTACGTGGTGTAGTGGTCAGCACACTGAGCCGGTATTTCAGAGGTCCGTGATTCGATTCCCGGCGAAGGCGGTTGCATATTTTTCATCTTTCCTGCTTCCAATTAACCCAATGACTCTACAGAGTAATTCCGAATAGACTTTAGTCTGTTTCTTTAAAATACGAACTTCGAGGCCGTTGCCAGAATCTCCCCCACCTAATTTGCGATCGTAACTCGTGCTGTCATCATTGCTTAGCGTTTATTTTCTCCATGTCGTGAGGCTTTAGTGCATGTTATGACACTTATTGTTCGATTTAAAAGCGTTTAAGTTGTAACTTTACAACTAACTCTGTGGATTCTAAGGTCAGCTAGCTCTATGGATTTACAGCTAGCTCTATGGTGTCAATAAATCCCGTACAAGAGTTATCGTGATGGAAATGAAATGTCAAAGCAGATAAGAACATAAAATAAAATTCAAATGAAATTTTAGTAAGTCTCTACTTGAGCTTTTAACATAAAATTCTAGTACAGATAACAGTCTATTTGATCATGCATTAGTTTGACGCTAAAATTCACAATTCAGTTTTACTCTAAGAGGAACACAATTCTTTATCGAATATTAACGTATTAAACTTTCAATTGCTTTCTTTCTTTTCGCCATCGGCAGAACAGCTGCACCACTAGGTCAGGTGTTCTTCCGTCTGTTGAATCCCGTCGATGGAATTTAAAAAAAAGAGCTTAGTACAGTGTCCTCCGGGAATTGATTACATCTAGAGATTAGTGCTGTGTCCTCCGGCAACTGACCACGCTAAACGAGAAACATTGAAAGAAGGACCAGAACATGGAAAGAAGGTGCATGGTGGGGACAGTTGAGAACACTTTTCACTATTATGTTAGGCATATACTATATGTTATTCACTATATGTTAGGC